GGGGAATTACTAGCCATCTACAGTTGGCTGTCCTCAGATTGTGTCCCTGTGTAACATATCAAATTTTGGTTTGAAAATGTTCAAACAAACAAAAGTTTTCAACTATTTTCAGTGCAGGTAAGAGAGATCAGGAATATTCTTTATCTGATTTAGGTTTAAGTCTTTATTATCTGATGATCTACATCTAATTTTTGCTCCTGATGCCTGCAAGAAAATTGAAAAAGTGTGGACACAACACTTCGGTGACTCCCTGCATACAATTAATTTTTTGGGTTTTTCTGTTGGATTGTATTCATTTGTGTTTTTAGTTACTTATTTCATGCTTATAAGTTACTCTACCTGAGGGAAAATTAAACGAGAGTGCATTAAGAGTACTTATATTAAGATTACAAAGGAAACACATCAGAGTAGCACTGAATTGAAGCTAGAGGCACGTAGCTTTTTTGTTTGTCCAAAGCTTTAACATTCTTTCACATCATGTCATTACCATCTTTCTGTCTTCATAGTTCTTAAACCATTATCAAAGAGGGTTGCGGAAAATTATATGTAACACTTAAGTAAGCCCAAAAGTAATTTGTAACGTAGGGTTGGCAGTTTTCCCTCTCAAATTCCTGACGCTTGAGAAACTTCGAAGCACACGTGCCACGAGAATATTTCTAAAATTCGTGGGTGTTGCAGGACCAGGATCACCCCACCCCCCTGCTTTGCTGCCCTTATATAACTTTAGAAGGATTAAGAAGAGAGAACAAAATGTTATGCTCCAACAGAAAGTTACCAGCAGTTAAACAATTTTTATTTTTTGCGCATTGTAAGGTTCTTATGCAAGAACCTCTTATAACCGCGGGTGGAGCGGCCCTTGGCGTGTGGGAGTTTCTGGGGCGTGTCCAGTGTGTCAGCCAATCGGAGATAGTGGGTTAAAAATACTACTCGTCCTCAAACAAGGCATTATGCCCAGAGTACATTTGATAATACCGAAAAGCAAAAATAAATTTGCAGAAATCGTTCTCAGTGTATACAACACATTGTTTTTTGGAGGCTAGAATTTTACCGCGTTTAAACGGCATTATTGCGCATGCGTTACGTCATCACTTCAAGTAAACGGTTCTCTCAGACACTATTTTCAGTGAAAATGCTGTTTCTTTTGTCTTCGTTACACGAATGTGCATTGTTTTCTTTTTACATGCGTCGAATTTCTGTCTGAACAAGCTCACGTGAGTGAAAACAGACACCCTGGATTTTGCTGAAAACATTTCTAGTTTGCATAATTTCTGTTGTGATCGTTGAGGAGGCTTCGTCGACAAGTGTCTTGCCACTGGTTTGGAAAATAACTTGTAGCAGCATAAAGCAAATGGGAAAAAAAGAGGAAAATGATCACGAAGCAAAAGAAAGATTATTAGGTGATGATGTAAACCCTCAAGTCGAACCGGCAGACAAGTAAGTGTAATCTACGTATTATTAAGCTCTTTCATAGTTTAAAATGCGTAGAATAGGAACTTTATAATGCAAATATTAGGGTGCTAATTAATGTATTTATTTTTATTGTAATCTTCCGCACAATGTAAACATCTACTCGCAGCCACTTCTTGATTTTCGCACAATGTTTGTCGTGAGAACCCTGAATAATTTTGTACAGCATTATATAGATATCTTTCCAAAATTTGATGTCTAAACAAAAGTTTTTAGTAATGACAAAACTGTATCGGTAAAGTACAGTTAAACACATGAACTAAGTTGTGGAAAACTTCTAAAGCAAAGAATCAGATATACAATATAACAGTGAAAGCATAAATTAACTAGTCCAGGTAACTTATGCAAAATAATATGTAACAGGAAAGCAAAAAAATCTATTTGTTCTGTGTGACAAACACAGCTCTCCACGCATTTGTATTTGTATTTAAGGATTTGTACAAAGTACTGGAGCAGAAACAATAGCACATAAGTCCTCTATTAGGGTTAAGCTCCAACCCAACCCTACCCCTTGCCCCCCAATTCCCAGTAAACAGGGTTCTTTAACATCCTCTGCCTAACCAAATTAACTTATTAGTAGATGCAGGAGATGGGACCTAATGTTTATTTGTCCTTATCCAAGAAGACAAGAATGTCTATCGATTTCTTGATATCATAGAAAGGTAGCACATTCTCCACATTTATTTTAAGACCTTGAGTGTTGGTCTGGCTGGGGCTCAGACCCTCAACCTCCTACACAACAGTCCAGCTCTCTAACCAATTGAGCTAACCAGGAGGTGGTTAAATTGTGGTAGTGCTGTCATTCCCTAGCACAGCAAGCATAATGCAGCATTTTGATATCATACAGAACAGAAAAGGTAGTCTTTGAACACTGAGTGTAATTATTTTGTAAATGTACAAAATGAAACAAATCTCAACAACACTGTCTGAATGGTGCAAGTAATAAACCTGTGATTTGATTGGTGCCAGCAATAAACCTTTAATTTGATTGATGCCAGCAATGTAACAAAGCTGCAATTTGATTGGTGCCAGCAACAAACCTACAATTAGATTGGATATATCAACAAAGTTGAAATGGTAAATTGACCACTGTAACGATTACAAAAGCTGACGTTTCGAGCGTTAAACCTTCGCCGGAGTGAATAGAGGAATTGTGGGTTGTGTGTGCTTTTAAAGGCAGAAAATGGAGCTACGTTATTGGTGGGAGCATGGCAATGAGAAAAACAAGAATAAATTTGTGGAATGAAAAGTGTTCATTGATCCTTGTGGGATTTAGACTGCCGGTTTGAAAGATGAGCTTTTGTTCAAGATTTTTACGGCTTTCCGTGCTACCTAAGTGTAAGGAAAGACTGCAGATTGCCATATGTTGCTTAGAATGATTAGGTAAATTAAAATGTCTAGCAACTGGTTTCGATGTGTCCTTGTCATTCCTTTCCACGTCTCGAAGGTGTTCTCGGAATCGGTCTGGNAACTGGCACATTGACTCTGATTTGTGGTGGAAATCAGAGTCATCACTACATAAACGACGAAGTCTTAGAAACTGAGAAAAAGGAATGGAATTCTTAACGTGAGATGGATGCGAAGACGAATATAACAAGTAATTATGCGAGTCTGTAGGTTTGTAATACACACTAGTGCATAAACCGTTACCTTCAATTGAAACTTTGATGTCTAAAAAGGATAAAGAATTGTCAGAAATTTCCCAGGTATATTTCAGAGCCGGGTGAAAAGAATTGACTGTGGTTATGAATTGAGTGAGCTCCTCTCTGGTAGAGGAGGTAGCACCGATACAGTCGTCAATGTAGCAACCATAGAGTTCAGGTTTGGACCCGTTGTATTGGCTGAAAAATTGATGTTCGGCAAAATTGATGTTCTGCAATTAGATTGGTGCCAGCAATAAACCTGCAATTTGATTGGTGCCAGCAACATACCCGGTGCAATCTAATTACTGGGATTAATGTACCCAACACAATCTGATTGGTGTAAACCACATACCACTTTTGACCAAATATGTATTTTTTTTTTTGTTAAAAAAGTAGTTTAAATAAGTCAGTTTTTTTTTTAATGTTTGTAAGATTCTTGATCGGATTCAAAGAAATATTGGAAAAGGTTGTTTTGTTTTGCTTCTCTTACTTGTATGTAATTTGATGTTATTTAGGTTCAAACATAATTTCAAAATTTGTTCAACTAAGCGGTCTTTTGGTAAAACGGGCTGTATGGGGAAACATTTGGCTTTCTGTCATGATGCTCAGACTTGAAGCCAAATATATTTACCTTCCAGCCCTCCCACTCAGTCACCACGTAAGTATTTTTACATATAATATAATTTTAGATGGCAAAGATCATGGTTTAAATTTTTTTGCAAAATGCCCCTTTCTCTCCCCCCTGCACAGAGTATGAGAGGCACAAATAGTTCCACCTTTATCAGGTTTTGGCTGTAATTGTTTCTTTTCAAGCTAGAATTGAAACTCAATTCATACATGTGCATGCAATAAACCCTGAACCAATGTAGGATCTTTTCTTTCTCTTTACCTTAATTCCTATTTCATGGGGTGTTCTTATATCGAAGCAGTCAACTGAAATCATTGTGTGAAGAAATTACCTATTAAGTATTGTGTGTTCTTGGGGTGTTCTTATATCGAAGCAGTCAACTGAAATCATTGTGTGAAGAAATTACCTAATATTAAGTATTGTGTGTTCTTGGGGTGTTCTTATATCGAAGCAGTCAACTGAAATCATTGTGTGAAGAAATTACCAAGTAAGTATTGTGTGCAATCATAGCTTAAAGAATATCTCAATTTTGGAAACTAGCATGAGGTAATTAAAAGAACCAAAAGAAACAGGTAAAAACTAGCAATAATTTTTGCTTTGAATCACAACTACAAGGTAACGTAATCACAAAGGTAGTCTTTTCACGACGACGTGAAACTGGTCCATCTCAAGTCGTCAACGATAAGACGACGACGGAATTCTTGGTTCGCTCTTGCGCAGTGATGTTCTCGCTACTTCCGGTCATCATCCTCCGTTCGTCGTCCTGGTTGCTTAAGCTCCCTATTAACCAAGCTTGCTTGGGACTGTACTGGAAGAATATCAGCCCTCCGTCTTTTTTGTATGGACCGAGCGCAGCTCGGTCCATACTGTCAAGACCTCAGGCCAATATTCTCCCAGTCCGGCCCTCGCGCTTTGTTAATAAGATATATATATATCTGTAGGAATCACATAGCTGAATAAAATCTCGCATTCTGATCGGTTAACAAAGCAAGGTATTTAGCATGGAATTGTAAGTTGAAATTGAGGCAAAGTGATATTGTTTTGCATCTCTTGTTTCACGCTCAGGATAAAAGTAAACATTGTTATTGCTGTTTCCTTTTTTTCTTATATTTATTCAATTATGTGATTCAAGGAAAATCCATCACCTCATTCAAGAATTCTGCTTAAATTGCATTTGAAAACTGATATTGTACTCATGGCTTCATGATTCGTGCAATATTGGTTTTTGTATGCAATTTAATGTGGAATTCCCTCGCCAGGTAATGAATTTTCGCATAGAATGAACAGAAAAGGAGTCATGCCACTAGGCATGCAATAAATCATTGAATTTTGTGCAAGTCTTTCAACTGTTTTGCTTATCTTCAATGGTCTTCAACCTCGTTGACAGTGCTTTTTCATCAGCAATACTGATCATTTCCTTTATTCTCAGTTGACCAAACCAAACCTTTATTCTCTCTAACCAATTGAGCTAACTGCCCACCGGTTAGCTCAATTGGTTAGAGCGTCAGAGTGTGTTGTGCGGGAGGTAGAGGGTTCGAGCCCTGGCTGGACCAATACTCATGGTCTTAAAATAACTGAGGAGAATTTGCTACCTTTCTATAATAGCAAGAAATGGATAGATATTCTAGTCTCCTTGGATAAGGACAAATAAACCATAGGCCCCATCTCCTGCAGGGTTAGGGGTACAAGACGTTAATTTCCTATGCACGAGATTACTGTGTGGTGGATGTCCTCCCTTGGGGTGGGATGGGTGGGTGTTCACAAGGCCCATTTAAACTAGCTATCTGCTAAACTGGGCTAACCTTTATAAATATTTGTAAATACAAGAAAAATACAAAATACCGTGATAGTGTTTGATTCAGTAGTCAAACTGTAAGGAGAAATGGGATGCTGGTCACACTAGGGAGGAGGGCTAACAGGTTGATCAAAAGGGATATGACTTATTTATTTCACACATACTGCCAGAGGGTTGTTTAAAAACTGAAAAAGACAATGGGAAAGAAAATTAGAGAAAATAAGAGCAGTTGTGCAAGTGAGTGAAAAAATTTGCAGGTGCCCCCTTAAGGTTGCCTTATAACTAAATAACATTGTATTAAATTTATTTTATTTTTTAAATATCCTGTCGTGGTTTATTTAATACCTCTCCCCACTTGATCCAGCAAGGCAACCAGTTGAATTTGTAGCTAACTGTGCTCCTCTAAAGGTAACAAAAACTGGGTTTCTTTTAGAGTTATGGAAATAACACATTGGAAATTAACAGAGTATGGGTCCTACCACAATGTCATACATTTTTGTTAAAGTTGAAGGTTAAACTTAAACAGTTTTCAATTTATTGCCCCTTAGACATAACTAATTTACAAACACCTTGACATAGGTTTAGCCTTTAACACCATAACATCAATATTCATATTCCCCATACTCTTTTATTTACATTTCTTTGGTATTGACAAGGAGAATCAGTTCAGCGGTGAAAGTTTCATATCTAATACCACAGTTCAGAATATATGAACTTCATATATTTCATTGTATCTGATTTATCACTTTCACGGGTTTATTACGAATCAACTCAACGGCCTGCTCCCAGTTGGCTTGTTAGCTCAATTGGTAGAGCGCTGCACTAGTATCGCAGAGGTCAGTGGTTCGAATCCCGTACAGGCCTGATTTTTTTCAGGTCTGATTTTCGCTATTGCTTAAATAGCGCTATCTACTGCGAGGATCGTGTATCATATGTAAATAATAATAAAAATTAGAGTGTCCACTGAAAATAATTTCGTTACGAAATAGGATATTTTTAAAATGTGCTCTTTTCTTGTCTAAAATTTATCAAGTTTTCTGCCTAAAGCGTTTTCTTGAACATGTTTTTCCTGAGCAATACTTCTCCCAGTTGGCTTGTTAGCTCAATTGGTAGAGCGCTGCACTAGTATCGCAGAGGTCAGTGGTTAGAATCCCGTACAGGCCTGATTTTTTTCAGGTCTGATTTTCGCTATTGCTTAAATAGCGCTATCTACTGCGAGGATCGTCTATCATATGTAAAGTTTCTTAGGTTGGCAATCATTTCCTTTATTCAAAAAAAGTGTATGAATGGTACCAATGTATGACTAAAAGGAGAAATTAGATGCTGATTACTCTTGGGGGCTACAGGCTGAACACTCATACTTGAGTCAAGGTATTGTAGCTACAATGTGGGACAGCCAAATTGTGATTTGAAAAAAAAGTTTGAAGTAATTGTGAGAAAGAGTTGTATTGTATCACTCTTAGTGACTGTTATTGTTGCAAATATCTGCTGTTTTTAGTTAACAATTTTTAATTTAGTTTCAGTTTTAACATTGGTTTTAAAAAAATTTTATTTCTGTGCAGGACCTCATATTGCTCTTACCAATACCACCTCCCTTTGTTGATAGCACTTGTCTGTCACTAAAGGGGCAGCATTCACTGAATGCTTGGTTGGGTATTAATTGCAGAGGAATTTTCAAGCCAGGACGTGCTTTTCTAATTTTAGCTTTGGCCCATTTTAGGTCCCAACGTCACCTCCCAAAGCTCCCTTGAGGGGACAAGGCGTTCAGGGGGGGGGGGGTCCCTACAGGGGTCTTCAAGTGGATTGGAAGACTTTCTCACCATTTCTTTCTCATGTTTGTTAAGTTTATTGTTTGATGGATTGATGTGTTATCTATAACATGACAAAAAGATGAAAAAATCGCGTAACGTGAGCAAATGCATAATCTGAAAGGCCCAAAACACGAAAGGTCACCAAAAAAAAATCCTAGTTTATTCGACCGGAAATGGTCGCACACGCACATTCTCTTCTCTCAAGGTCAAATCATTTTTAAGCTGTTCCTCTTGTTACCATACTTTTCAATGTATAACAATTTTTTGTCTTGGTTTTTTTTTTTTTAGTTTTTTTTATTTTTTAGTTTGAAGATACGTGAATTGAGAAGCATGTTTTGTAAAAAGCGATCATCATGATAATTCATGCCGAGTTTCTTTCCACCCACACCACCATTTCCGGTCGCAAATAGTCGAAGCAAAGATGCATGATCGAATTTCTCTGCAATTTGTCGCATACGATAAAACTGGGCTAAAATCCGAGTCATTCTCTGAGTGGAACACCATTTTACTCACAGAAATGAAAAGATTTGCAAACATCAGCTTAAAAATGAAGATGACGAAAATAACGAAAATTAAACCTGCATCAGTTAATGCCGCTTCGTGTGACATGCACGTGATAGTGAGGGCGAATGTTTACTCTTGAGTGGTAGGGTAGATTAGCATTTTTTTAGGACAAATTAGTTATAGTTAGGCAGAGATTTTATTGAAACCCAAGTAAAAAATTGATTTTCTGGATTTATAATTAGATTATATCTAAATTTGAGATTATTGCATCTAGATAGGCAGTACAGATCAATAAACTGTGAAAGCTTGGAAGCCTCCCTCCCCCACTACCCTTTACTTTTGAACCGCCTTCGTCAAAAGCCCTGGGTCAAATTTGGCAACACACACAATCCGTTCAGATTTCTTTCAGATTGGGATTGAAGATTTTTTTTTGCTCTTTGCCCGCTGCAAACCCCTAGAAATCTTCACCTAAATCTTACGTGTTGATTTGTGTTGTACAAGTGACTGTGAATACACCGTTAGAATATTTAGGCGCTTTGTAACAGATCTGCTGGAAATTTTATCTCGACATGGGTGCTGGTGGTGAAGAAGTCCGAGTTGAGACAAAAGCGTTTCTCGAGAAAAGTGCAGCTAAGAAAACTCTCATCGTGTCAATGGAGCCTAAAGATAGGTATGGTAGTTTGAATAGTTAGATATAGATAGAAATGTAGAATTTGAGCTTAATTTAGTTGGCTTTTAGAGAAGAATGCGCTCGCCCGTTGCATCATTTGAGCTCATTCGATCGAAGCGTTTCTCTCGATGTTTAGTTATCCAGAACAGGTTGTTTTAGTTTTATTCATCTTGTAGTGCCGAGTGCGAGCTTATATTCGCAGAAAAGTTCTCCTACATCGAGAAAGCTTCCAGGAGAACAGATCAAATGCTACATTTTTAGCTACGTTAACTTAAACTTACTGTTATATAGGGTCGGTGGTTTATTGTTGAACAATGTAAACTTAAAATTTTGAAACTCGATGTCGCTATCGTTTATGGCTGTTAGAGAGGGAAAGCTTCGTCCGGTCGATTGCTTGTGCTATTGGGGAGAGACGAAGATGAAACATTACTGGTAGCAGCTAAAGACACAGCACGCTCGCTAAAACAATTGAAAAAATAGTGAATTATCGGCAGAAGTGTAATGCAAATTGATCTCCCTAACTTTGGTTCGATCACTTGCGTTTCCTTTCAGCTTCCTTCCCGAGCCTTTTCAACTACGCTTAAGGGGTCCTAATCATTTGAAACAGTACGCTGACCCGGTGTTTGAACCAACGTTCAAAAACTTGACCAACACAACCTCTGTGCTAAATATGAATGAAAAACAAAAGCAGGCAGTTAATCGAAGATATTTTGAGAAAAAAAGGGAGAAAATTACGGCGTCCGTATTTTATTGGTTTTAACTTTGTCGCAGAGAACTTGAGAAATTTACGTGTTCCTTACGGAAATTCAATTACCGAAATTCTGTAGCGGATGTTCAGATATTGAGAAAACCCCTTGCCGAAACCTTCTGGATTTTACTTTAGCGTGAACATCCACTTAACTTGTGGTAGCTAAGCCGTAACCACAATTTAGCTGAGTTGCTTTGTTCGATACGTGCATGAAGTTAGAATTTAAATGACCCTGAAAATCTCTAAAAAAAGATAAGTTACAGAGTTGCCGACATCGTAACTTGAGAACAAATTAGAGTGTCCACTGAAAATAATTTCGTAACGAAATAGGATATTTTTAAAATGTGCTCTTTTCTTGTTTAAAATTTATCAAGTTTTCTGCCGAAAGCGTTTTCTTGAAACATGTTTTTCCTGAGCAATAATTACCTTGTTAGAAAAGAGTCACGCTTATGCAAAAAAAAAAGAAAAGATTAATTTGAGTGTTCAATTGGCACTGTTGGTGGTCGTTGGAGTTTCCTCTGACATTTTTCAGATGACCTATGATGCTTTTATGATTTAATCTCATAGTTAAAATTAGATATGGGATCTTGTTTAAACATGTTTTGAGAGCAAGGATACTTGTCTTGTGTTGATCATCTGGTCTCAGTGATTGTGATGTAACATTTATCACTGCTAATAGCTTTCATTAGACGTTGGGTCATATACAAGAAGAATTTTTCCCCTTTTAGATAAAAGATATACAATTTTGATGTTGTTGTGCCTTGCATTTCTTTGCCATGGAATGAGATAAGAAGATTGCATAATCAAAAGGCTCAGTGGAAGTAGTAAAAATGCTCCGATGAAGGTCTAATGCTTGAAACATCAGCTTTTGTAATCGTTATGGTGGCCAATTTACCATTTCAACTTTGTTGATATACCCAAATTATTTAGTAAAAATGAAGATATTTATGAACACTTTTAGGCTTTACTGTTACCTTTAATATTGAAATTTAGATACCAAAATGAGTTATAAATGTATTTCAATTTTGACCTATTGTAAATTTTTTAACCAAACGGCTTTAAAAGTTAGGAAGCATCATGTGTTTGTGAGAAATTCCTAAAATTTAGTTGTAAGTTTGAAAATTTTTAGTCACAAAAATAACCAACCCAAGAAATTTCATGAGCATTGCACGACGTATTTTCTGAAAAAGTGTGATCACACAACATTTAACTTGAATTTTGCAGGATTTTTTTCAGTTAAAACTACAGCAACTAGTAACAAGTAAGGCACAAGACTGTTAAATAAGCTAGGCTGTAAAACAGTCACGAAATTGCTGCCAGTGGAGAAATTGCAGTGGCAAAAGCAAAATCTTTATTTGCAAATGTACCTGATGCAGGTGCAATTTCAAACCCTGCTTGCCCCGTTATCAAAAAACACAGAAAATCCCCTTGGTAGGATTATATCCTTACCCCATAAACATTGTCACACAAGAGCCAAGCTTCTTTTGCTTTTTTCCTTAAATATTTAAATCTTTTTAAAGTTTTTTTCCTAGGGTTATCTTTGATACAAATAAATTTATGTGAATATTATCTTTAATGCAGGTTCAATGTGGTCTACTTCATTATGCTCATTCAAGGAGTGGGTACCCTGTTGCCCTGGAACATGTTCATTACTGCACATGCAGTAAGTGTAATGATTCTATAAATGAGACAAAGCAAATCATCTCAATTGAAACAGTTATTTTAACATTCGGAAAGGAAGTTTGAGATGTTTAGGTCTTCTTAGCCTAAGGCCCTGAATTTCTTTAGGCTTCTTCTATTGAACCTTCACAAGACTGAGTGATCATTATTCTAAACTTGCTGCTTTTTTTGCAGCAATTAGATTTGTTTTGTTTTATTTTTTTGGGTAAGATGTGTTTTCTGGTGTAAAGATGCCAGTGTTTGCCTCTGTATATGGAAAATTTGAATTTTGTGTTTTAGACCTGATTGCTCACACTTATTCTCTATTCTCTTTAACAGTATTTCCAAGAGAAATTAAAGGCAAACGAAGATCTGAAGCACAGCTTTGAGAATTACTTTTCAGTAGCAGCCATGGTGCCCAATGTTGTTATGTTCCTAATCAACACTCTTTTTAAGCACAAGTAAGAATTGTTTGTTTCAATCTCAATCTGCATAATTGAGGAAAATAATTTGATTCTCGAGAAAGATGTTTTTTATCCTGTCACAAGCATGGGACAAACAAAAAATTCTGAGTCGCCATGAGGAATCAAACCTCAGACCTTCAGATTTCATGCTCTGATGCTCTAACAATTTTGAATCACCCACACAAACACTTTTATAGGATGGATGAAGCACTTGACAAGCAGCTTCTGTTTGACACTTATTGTATGACTTATTGTAAGTAAGAGTAATTTTTTTCACACATGCTATTACACAAACCCTGTTTTGGTGTTTACAATATTGAACAAAGCATGCTAAAATTGAAGTGGTGCAAATACTTGATTTAACAAATTATCCTTACAAAACTTACTATTGACACCTTTTTTTTTTTTTTTTTTTCAGAGTTCCACTGCAAGTTAGAATGATTACATCAGTGTGTATCATGACATTGTGTTTTATTTTGACGACAGTCTTGGTAGTGATTGACACTTCAAAATGTAAGCATCTTTATTATTTTAGTTAAATAATAGTAAGCATGTGCATTGTAATTGCCCACATTTCAGTGTTCAGCCTGTTAAATTAAAATTTGTTTCTTTTGAAATTCTACCCCTCTATCTAAACCCACAGATACCATTAAAATCTTACTGTTCTTGTTTTCTTGGTCCATACTGTAGATTAGGAAACCTTGTTTTTCTGCTCAGATATATGGCCCATGTGCTTTGGGCTTTGGAAATAAATCTTGAATGGAAAAGGCTTAGTCTGTTATTTGCAGTACAAGCCTCAAATTAATAAGTGCAGCATATTTGTTTAATCCATATCTCTAATGCTGGGCCTTTTTTCCTTCATGTAAATGTGATGTTACACAAAGTACAAGCAGGGATGCTAAGTACATTCTTCTTCCATCATCTTTTGAATCCTCTAACTCTGAGGAGTTATTATATATGGCAGTTATGAGAATCCTTCTTTCAGATTCTGGAAATTGTCAAACTGACAGGTATTGGAAATTTAGCTGTACTCAAAATGTAGTTATTTTAATTTGGATATTTTTTTTAAATCCACAGGGACAACAGATTTCTTTTATATCACAATTGGAACTATTATTCTAATTAACAGTAAGTGATAATAAGCATTTTTTTCTACAAAACATGAAGGTGCTTTGCTGATAATTGTTCTTATAAATTAAGATGGTTTTGTTACCAAGAGAAGAAAAAAAATGAAGCAAGTCTTAAGATGGGCATTATCTATGTACTAGGGAAACAAATTCAGGTCTTGAAAAGAAGGGAGTTGAATACAAAAGCCAGTAAATTCCCTGTCTTTGAAGGCAGCTGCACCTTGAATGTTGTGGACAAGCACAGATGTTGGGCTGATTAAAAATGGGTGGGCCACCCATTCTTGTGCATATTTCAAATTGAATTTATAGTTGAACACTGCTCCTGTCACCAGTGTGTGGAAGCATGGAGTGTTTGTGTACAAGAACATTTATAAGATACAATGAATATATGAAGTTCATGATTTTCGTTATTGTCTAAATAGCGCTATCTACTGCGAGGATCGTCTATCATACGTATCTAATACCGCAGTTCAAAAATATATGAACTTCATATATTCATTGTATCTTATTTATCACTTTCACGGGTTTATTACGAATCAACTTAACGGCCTGCTCGCAGTTGGCTTGTTAGCTCAATTGGTAGAGCGCTGCACTAGTATCGCAGAGGTCAGTGGTTCGAATCCCGTACAGGCCTGATTTTTTTCAGGTCTGATTTTCGCTATTGCCTAAATAGTGCTATCTACTGCGAGGATTGTCTATCATACGTAAGAACATTTATATTAATTCCAAGTTTCTGTCCTCTTCAGTGAGCAGTGCAATTTATCAAGGAGGACTCTTTGGTGTCTGTGGAATGATGCCTCCGAGATACACTGGCGCTGTAATGACTGGCCAGGTAAATTCTTTTATGTTAATGGTCTCTGATTGATATTGAAATGAATATTGAAATTATTAATAGTACAGATTTAACTGTGAATAGTAGAAGTTACTGTGTCGGCTTTCTTCAGCATAATGTAGAAAAAAGGAATGTTCTATAAACAAAATAAAACAGTAGGAAACAGTTATCAGGTTTTTCCACCAGATTTGCTTTTTCTTCCTATGTAAACCTGGTTAACTAGATTATTCAAAACCTTTCGCCATCCTCACTTTTAGTGGAGGCGCGGTGGCCTCATGGTTAGTGCCCTCCACTCCGGATCCAGTGGTGCAGGTTCTGGCCCCGGCTGGGACATTGTGTTGTGTTCTTAGGCAAGACACTTAACTCTTACAGTGCCTTTCTTCACACGGGTGTATAAATGGGTACCGGTAATTTAATGCTGGGGGGTAACCCTGCGATGGACTGGCATCCCATTCAGGGGGGAGTAGAAATACTCCTAGTCACTTCATGTTACAGAAACTGGAGTTAAGCACTGGCCTAATGGGCCACTAGGCTCGTAAACAGACCTTATTTATCCTCACTTTTAAGTGATGTTTTCATTATTATTTCACTCGGATTTTTTTTTATTTTTTTCTTCACACAGGGTGTTGGAGGCACATTTGCTGCCTTAGCGAGTATATTTTCACTGCTAGGTGAGCATTATTTAACAATTATTCCACTCGCACTTGTTAGATATGAGATGATAGATAGCCAACGAGGCATGTAGCGCCTCGTTGGCTATAGTTATCTCATATCCAACAAGCGCAAGTGGAATAATTGTTTTATRAAAAAAAAGGCCCCCAAGATATTAGGCAAATCTTCTCGACTTTATTTTGTAGGAAGAAACTGGATGTTACAATGTACAGATATCAGATTATAGTATATTGGCTTATATACCATAATGGCTAAGCCAATGAAAAGTCTTGAATTGCATTATCCAATGATCCAGTTTTTAATAATTATAAATATCTTATTAAAGATTTTGTTGTGTAGTATCGCTGATTATTTCTACGAGTTGTGCCATATTTTGATGAGCCTGTAAGGCAAGTCAAAATACAAATAACAAGGCAACCTGCCTAACCAGTTCTCTGGAGTACAAATACCACATGATATTTGTACTTGTCTTGGGCTTATTTGTACTCTACAGAGTGAAGTTGGATAATAACATCTGATAGTTTTGTTATATCAGCTAATTTGATAATGTGAATTGGCCGCATTAAAGAGTTTCTGAAGTTGATGTTTTTAGTGTTTGGGTTTGCCCTAGTATACCATTTTATTTGTCTATGAAAATCACAGTTTTTTTGCATTATTTGTGCTGGGATTACTGAGTAATAGGAGAAAAAAAAAAGATGTATTGTTTTCCATTGTTTTCTCTGTAGTTCAGTCACACACAATCAAAATGCTCTTTAAAACAAACTGTTTCTTCCTGTAAATGTACAAGAGATAGGCAGTGAACTGTTTGCATCACTTACCTTCAACAGTTTTCTTTGTATGTTTTGTCCAGGAGGAAAGGATGCTGTTAGCAGTGGCTTTGGGTATTTCATGTCAGCAGCAGTAGTTCTTACTCTCTGTCTTTTCACATACATCATGTTAAATAAACTGGTAAGGAAGGTGGAGTTTTAGGGTTTTTTTTCATTTAAAGAAAAGGGGTCCAGTGTTCAAAGGCAAGGTTTGCTGGTAGACTTCCCTGTAGAATTTTAAAAAAGGAATGTGGAAACAAATGATATTCGATTAGGGATAAGACTTACTTATTTTGGCTTTTCTTTCTTTGTTTAAATTGCCAGAAGTCTCTTTAGGATTTTTATTAAGCTTTTATAATGTGTGACTCAATTCCCCTTTTCTTTTGGGCTGGTATCTTTAGAACCGTGTACTTTGTACAATTCTTTAAGTTTTACTGGCTTTTAAATTAGATTATTCTAGAATGCCTTTGGGTATCAGACATTTTTGTGGTTGCCTATTAAGCTCGAATTACTGTTTATGATTAAACAAAACATGATTCCCCCTCCAAAGTGTATTTTCTTGACTGGTTTCTCCGACAGAAATTTGCTAGACATTACATTGCATCACAGAGTAGAAGAACTGAAATCAGTAAGTAGAGAATTATTTTGTCATCCTCATTGGTATGTTTGGCTAGTTAGGGTAGAACAAAAGACAAGAGACACTGGAAACAGTCTTCTTATACACCTGACAACTTAAGTCTATCTATTACTTGGGAAATCTAATTATTTATCAATAATATTTAATTGGATTCTTGACAGTGAGCTCAAATAATGGAAGTGAACAGATTGAGAGGCTGGCAAACTGGCAAATACCAGCTTCAAAACAGTCAGGAAACATACAACACTCAACACTAAGTAAGTGCAAAGTTTATATCATGATCTTATTTATGACAGCATTCTGGATCTGGACTTTTCAATTATTTCGTGGTAATTTTACCTTAGATTTCTGGGATGTCTGCATCCCAAATGTCGACTTGTATGTCGGTATTATTGCAAGTTGATCGTGGTTCTCAGTGACCCTCAGAATCTTAAACCATCTTTGCTAGTTATCAAGAAGGCTGAGTTAATGGAATTTCCACTTTTTTGGAGTAGTCTAGTTTTTTCTTAGTCCTAGATATCTCACATATTTATTTTTGCAAATTTGTTAATCATTGAAGAGGCAAATAAAGAACTTATTTTTTGTCACACTTATTTCTCTGGATGGTCTGTTTTTAAGGTTTGGATAACGAGGCACTTCTGTCAGTTAAGTATCATCCAAAAGAAGCTGAAGCTTTCAAGAATGAAAGGCCTCCTTTTCTGTTGATATTTAGACAGGTACTGTATAGTACAATATTACAAGCTTGTCGTCCAACCCTCTTTTTTGTTGATATTTAGACAGGTACTGTATAGTACAATAATTATTATAAGCTTGTCATCGACTTGTTGTGATGACAATACCATGGCTTGCACCTAAATGTGAACACTTGATGGTGAAACTTCAAATATTTTATGACAGTCCTGCCATGTTTAATGCCCAGTTAGATCGTGTTTCAGTGGTACATCTTTATGCCTAGATGCTAACAATAGGGAGTTAAAGAAAACCACTTTGTCAATGGCAATGGGAATGTCTCTAAACAAAAGGTATAATGAGCAGAACAATGGCTGTGCACTTGCGTTATAAATCATTGCAAATTTCTTTGCATCCTCTGCAAAACAACAAATGTTAAATGACCTAACTTTGTTTTCTCTAGGACATGAACAACAATGGCGAATTTTTTTAAAATTTCTATTTCTAATTTAACTCTGTGTTCCATATTCAGTTTTAAGATAGTTTGACAGTGAGAAACAAGCTAAATGACTGGAGAGTATTCCAAGATTTGTGGCTAAAATATAATATAAGTTCATTTCCTAACCAACATTGTCCAGGGCATCGCCATTGTTGTTTCTCTGACTCCCCATTAGCACTTCAGTGAGAGGGGAGCTTTTTTGTCCATTGGCTTTTTTCATGGTCATTCATTAATGATTGTTCTATATTATTATTTTCATTTTTTTTTTTCCAGATCTTTAAGCTGGCTTCATCTGTTGCATTTGTATTCTTTGTGACATTAGCAGCTTTTCCTTCATTGACATCAAGAATACAATCAGTGCACAAAGGGGATGGCTCAGAATGGACAGGTAGGTGAATTGCTGTGAGAGAGATATGATTTTACTGGTATATTTTTATAGAGCAAGTAATGTAACAGAAGATTTTTTTTTTTTTTTTTTTTTTTTTTTTTTTTTTTTACTTCACTCAGTGATTTTTCTAGTGAACCTGTATTGTTGTCTTGACCAACCAGATACAAATTAAAGCTAAAAACTTAATTTGACCTGAAGCCCATCTCTCAAAAGTCCTTGTAACTCATATTTCTAATAATAATGGAAATTTAATGGTGGACATCCCACAAGGTGGCTCTTGTCCACTATTTAACAGGTTGAACTGGAATTTGAAATGTTAGTTTTTGTGAAGGGAGGAAAACCAGAGAAGCCCCAGAAAAACCCTCACAGCAAGGATGAGAACCAACAACTTCAATCAATATCTGACACCATCTGAGATTCAAACCCCAGGGCCACAGGGGTGGTGGTAGGGGTAGGAACACCACTGTTCCATCCTTGCTCCTGTCATGCCCAAAGCAATATTTCAAAATCTTGATCTAAAGATTGAATCATCATTAAAAAAAAAAAAAACTTTTATTTCCTGGTATCTATATTGTTTATCTTTCAAAATTATTAATATCCAAATCTGGGGTTTAAACACAGCCAAAACAAAAACAAAAAAATGTAAACAAAAGAGTTAGAGATATCTTTCAATGCTACCTTTACATGTAGAACTGCTCCAGTGGTTCATTTAGGAAATGAGCAGCTGGCCAATTTACACAAGACATTGTTTGTTTACAGAAACCTATTTTGTTCCTGTAACATGCTTCCTTTTGTTCAATATTGGTGACTTCTGTGGCAGACTGGCAGCATCTTTCACACAATGGGTGAGTATTCAGGACGAGAATGTTAAAAACTTTTCTTAAAGGAGTTGACAGGCTCAGCATTAAAAAAAAAAAAACAACATTCTTAGCAAACAACCTTGTGACTTTTTTTTTAGCTTTAGCTATTTATTAATTAGTGTTGCTATGCAAGGTTAATGTGGACAGTAGGTACTTATACAAGAGCTGTACATGTACAGCTTTTATTGAAAAATGTTTCATTTGTTGCCATTTGTTGTAGAATAGAACTTGGTCATTCATTAGTGTCTTCTTTCTTCCAGCCTGGAAAAGATGGCTACCTTCTGCCAGTTCTCTGTTTCTTGAGAGTGGTGTTCCTTCCTTTGTTTGCATTTTGTAATGCCCTACCGAGAAAAAATCCCAATCTACTATTTTTCAATGAGGATTACTACCCAATAATATTCATGGTACTATTTGCCATCTCAAATGGCTATCTTGGAAGTCTGTGCATGATGTATGGACCATCGTAAGTTGAGCACTTATTAATTTATTTAATTTAAATTATTTGATTTCTAATTTCATAGTGATAATGGCGTTTATGATGGTGATGATGGTTATTCAGTTCTAGTGTGCAAATACGTTTTGAAAATATTTTGGAAGAAATATGGGTTTTGTTATATCATTTTCATTTAAAGAAATCATTTCACATGTTGTTTAGTTGTGTACTTTTAAGGAATCTTAGGTTGTGATTATTCAAATGAAGGTTAGTGAAGGCTCAGCCCTTTCACTCCCAGGGCCCAGTTGTTTGAAAACTAATTAGCACCAATCCAGGGTGAAATTTGAATCCAGGTTTCTATATTTCTCTGTTTGAAAGCCATTTTGGGATAATATTCCCTATTCTTTTTAGAACATTCAATTATCACACTGTAGACAAATGAAATTAAACTGAATTTTCTTTTAAAGCTGTCAGATCTGAAATCAAATTTCACACTAATCCTGGGCTATCTTAACCAACCTTTGAACAACCCGGCCCAGAAGTGATTGTTATGTAACTTCTTCCTATATTATCCATACATTATCCATCAAACAGGTTACAAGATTAAGTATAATTACCTGGTAGATATTATCTTGATCGAACACTTAACAAATGGTAAACACCAAAGTGTAAATTATTGAGTTATGGATGCACACAGGAGGTTGCTAAGCTTGAAAAAAGTGTAAGAGTTGCACAAGGCGATAGCCAAGAGTGATTTTAGCTTCTTGAGTGCTTAGCAAATCTCCCAAGTGCATCCATAACTCAATAGTGTACACTGTGGCATTTACCNAAGTAATTTTTGTAACTGATTTACAAGAAGTTGTCTAGCAAGTAGAGGAGAGAATTAACAATCAGATCTGGGGAGTTAAGCTGTTAAGCTCTGAGGTGGAAACCCTGGTGTTTGACTTTTTTTTTTAAGTGTAGTGCTGTTTTTGGTTGTTCTTTCGTGCTTCAAAAAGTGGTTCTGCCAGTGGGTTTTTTTTCTTTTTTTCTTTTTTTTTTGGTCTTTATTTGTGATTATTCTAAATTCCAAGTAATTGAGTTTAGAATATGCAAATTAATTCCTAGTTTAGTTTAGATGTTTTTTTGTTCATTTTATCACAGCATGGTAGAGCCTAAACATGCAGAAACAGCAGGAACTATGATGGCTTTCATGCTCATCATTGGTTTAGGAGTTGGAGCAGGATTTTCTTTTGTGATCACGATGTTTCTCTGAAAACAATTGTACCAAGCTGCTTACAGATCAGAAGTTCTGGTGCCTCAAACCTATCTCTTGTAGAAGTAACATTCTGATTGTCTTGCTAGTGCCAAGTGCAGTACTTGCAGTGACATTAGAGCATTTTTCAGGCTTAAGGGCTGTGTTATATCAATGGATTTCAAGGCCTAGATGTTGTGTTTGATTCCAGAAGTGGATTTCCATGGAAATTGTTCATATCTACAAATGTGGGGTTTTTACTAAATCTGGTGTGATTGGTAGGTTGGCAAATCCTTGACCAAATTCTCCAAGGATTGTCTCAAAAAACAATGTTTGTGGTGGATGGAGGCCAGTCTAGTTGATATTTTAAAGAACAGATCCAGCAAATATAGGAGCAGACAAATCATAGCATGAAGTAAAGAAAAAAAAAAAAACAATTGTTTGTGTCTGAAATGTTGATGTAATATTTCAAAAACTCGTGCTTTGTGTTTTATCGGGGTTTCCAAACACGAGAAAACTGATGAAAGCATGAGGCCGTAGGCCGAGTGCTTTTATTGTTTTTGAGTGTTTGAAAACCCCGATGAAACACAAAGCATGAGTTTTTGAACTTGCTTCTCAATCGTGCATCATTAGCCAAGAACAATGAAAAAATTCTGACTGATTTTGGCATCGTACGTGGAATTGCTATTGTTTTGCAGTAATTATTGGCCTTTGTTGTCAAATATTTTAGCAGTGTCACAAGTCCCTGAGGACCGTCATTGGGTTTGACATTTTATCAAGCTCTAGGGTTTGATATTTCATCGAAGTATAGTGGAAAAGCCTCTGTCCAGTGTTTCATTGGGGTTTCTAAACGCACACGTGGCCAAATAGGCATATCGTGTTTGGTTTGTAACTTGATGAATTACTAATGAGTTTGAGAAAAAATTCTCAAGATTACTTCAATATTTAGTATATGCTGCACTATTCTATATGTATATACTATGTTCAATACATGGCACATATTCTAGTTTATTATCCAATTGTGCTTTGTAGAGTACAAATAATGCGCAAGACGAGTACAAATATCTATTTGTACTCAGAAATATCCTCAAAATTTTCCCACACTGAAATAACAATTTGGTGTGTTGGTAATAAAATATCTCTTACAACAAACATATGAAATACATATATATGAACTGCGGTTATGAAACGTATATGTGCACGATCCTTCGCAGTAAAGCACTATTTAAGCAATAGTGAAAATCAGACCTGAAAAAAATTCAGGCCTGTCTCTTATTAGACATCTCTTATTAGACATTTTGTTGTGTAGTATCAATGAATATTTTTACTCATTGTTTTGACTCGCCCTATAGCCTCATCAAAATACAGCACAATTGGTAAAAAATACTCAGCAATACTACACAACAAACATCTAATAAGATATATGTACTAATAATAGCTGTGGTAGTGTGATCATGGGGTATTTAAAGTAATCACTCAATGGTGAATGGCATTTGGCACTTTCCAGTGCCACTAGTTCCCATTTGTGTGGAAACCTCTATTGCTAATAATTTCTTGTGGGTGAAATCAAAGTATTTGGGCTTTTTCAGAAATCATTTTTGATTTTCTAGATTTCTGTAGCTGCCACCATTCTCAAGAGTGATTTCCATACGTACATGTATACCTCAGAATTATTTTGGACAGTAAGTGTAACAAAAGTGCACTTCACAAATCTATGCCATTGGTCAAGGAGACAATTTGGTATGAGTTCCGACAATTTTTGGAAAAATTAGCATTTTTAAAAAGTTTCTAATTATAAATGCTTAATTTATTTTATGCTTAAATCTGCTAACCATCCATTTGACACTTTTCTAAAAATTGCAAAGACATCGTTATCCAATCAATCATTAGGCTTTCTGCCATGTATAGGTCAAATTCCTTGAAATGGTTTATGAATGCAGTGAAATGTTTTAGATAAAATAGGTGTGTGCTTTTGGTCACAATTGCATGGCAGCTTTAATTTATAAACATGCTTTGCTGGTAGAACATTCTTACATTGATACACTTCATATTGAAGAAGTATAAATGAATGTAGCCATAACATACCTTTACTTCCAATTTACTTTAAACAATAAAGAGGATGGTGAACATTTTTCAAAGTGTGCCTGTCTTTCCTTATTACTAACAAAAATTTCAACAGTATCGGTAAGCAAGCGTAAAACTATCATCTCCTTTTCAATTCCCAGAGATTCAGGGCTCTGAGTAGATTATGCTTGATGTGTTCCCAAATGTCTTCCTCTCTTATCCTGCTTTACACCAAATTTTAGAATATAAAATCTGAGTGCTCCTTTACCCTCACTGAAAGGATAATAAGGCTGTTTCAGGTCCTTTGCCAATCCAGAATCGTGAATGAACAGGCAAATGATGCTTGACAGTTGTTGAGAAAAATGGCACAACCCACTCCAGCCGTTTCTTTTCTGCCTGGCATTTTGATTGTTGTTGCTTAATGAAGGCCTAGTTTGGGCAATAAAGCACTTTTTCACCCCTTATGATTTTCCAAGTGCAATACTAGGTTTTCACAGTTATGGAGTTCTTGCTGTTAATGGCTCAAAACTTATTTAATTTACTTTTAACTTCATTATATGAAACTCCAGTCTATCTTTTTGGTCATGTCCCTTTCTATGAAATGGAGGATATTCCAGGATATGGAAATAGCTTCTATGTTTGATCATTTCCTTCATTCTCGTGAATTAAATGTGTGATTTGGGGATGACAAAGAAAGGAGAAATGAGCTAGTTACTTAAAGGGTTAAAAGTTTAAAACTTACTGCAATGCTTTCCGTTACAGTCATTTAATTAAGAGCTGAAGGAAAGTTGTGTCATTATAAGACTGACAAAAAGTTTATCAAAAGCTACTGCTAGGTAAAGGTGGCAGGTTTGATGGCTAACTAGGGTATTTAGTTATACAAAACAGCAAGTTTAAATCTAGGAATGAAGTCACAACCTTTCATTCCGGGCTGTTAATGATAGAAGAATGTGTCACATAAGCACAAGTAAAATTCCAAAAACCAGCATAACTGCATGAACCCATCTTGTGCACTAAGCAATCAGATTTATTTTTACATCTTGTAAGAACATCTAAATGCCTCAGTAGGTCTTCAGGGACCTAGCCATGCATTTTTTTTTTTTTTTTGGGTGTGGTTATAGATAGATGACATTTGTCAATAAAATACATGATATAAATTTGAGATAGGTATTCATAATAATACAAAAGAAAAGTGTAGAAATCATGTGCAAAAACTACACATTCAAGCTCTATAATTCCATTACGCCATAAATCAAAACAACTATGTCCAACAAAAACAATTTTTTAAAACTTTTTTAGCAGCATAGAAGTTAAAAGGCTACTTAAACAGTCTGTTAGCTTTTTATGTACTGAATAATCTCTCTCCTGCATTGTACTATGTGAAAACTTCAATTCTCTTAGTCAATCAGAATAAAGAAATTTTTCAACAGATCCCATATACAGTTGAACCTCGATTATCCGGACTCGTTGGGACCTCGGTGAATAGTCCAGATAATCGAGAGTCCGGACAATCAAAAATATAAATACTAATGAGATAGAAATGTAAACAAAAGGTATACAGCAAAGAAAACATTTTAATTGTGATATCTACACAGCTTGTCTGTATTTTCAAATAACGCATCAGAATATTTCTTTGTCTTGTCGCACTTGCGAATTTTGAAAAGCGGACAGGATAATACGCTGTTTCAACAGTCTTTTGAAAGGATTAGTGGGCTTTTTGTGACTCTTGAGTTTTCAAGATCACAACTAATTAATAATCATGAGAAAAATTGGGACCAGAGAAAAAAGTCTGGATAATCCAGGTTCAACTGTATTGTGAAATTCACAAACACACAATGCCCATATAACTTAATTGTAATTTAGCGCCTTTCAGCACTCCATCCAAACCTTTTAACAATAAAGTGTCTACCACCAATAGAATGTTCACCTCTAGCCATAATTTTGTGAACTGTAGATCTTTTCTTAAATTTAATAAATGCACTTTGAAAATTTCTTTCTGCTCCCCACCTCTTTGTGCTTATGTGGATAACATCATTGTTGAATCCTTCAAAATAGTGTGTGAGCTCTTCCCTCTTTACGCATCCTGGAATCTTGTCCACAAAGATTTGCACATGACGCTCCTTATTCCCATCCAGAGATGTGGCTCGCTGTACTCTCACCTCCTCTCCATTAATTGAGTGCATCATAGTTTTCTCTATCTTTTTGACAGGAGCATCATCAAAAAATGCCACCATTGCCATGTCTCTTCTCTCTTTATGATTACGCAAAAAAATCATATCTATAAATGCCAAACTTCCAAAATATCCAAAGTAATCTTTCAAATGTTCCAATGTTAGTCCTTCTGGAACATCATTTATAAAGACTCTCCTCTTCACATGGGTCTTTTGGGCATTTTCAATGCACTTCTTCACAAGTACCTCGCTATCACCAATCTTGACAATGGGTCTCTCTAGAGCTTTTAGCACCGCGTCTGATGTTGTGAACTTGATAAAACAGTAGTAAGGTTTTATCCTGTAAAACTCCTCAACTTTTTTAATGTTTCCATACTGTGAAAAATGTGCCTTTAACACTGTCTTTTCCAAGTTCTCTGGAACATCGTAGATGCAAATCTTTTTTGGAGAGTATTTATTAAAAGCTGGATCCACTTGAACATATCTCATGTGAATGAAATGCCTTTGAGTGAGAACTTTTTCCATACTAGACACATCTTTGAACTGCACATGTGCATACGGCCATATTTGTTTGAACTTCCTAGGAGGTTTCATAAAAACCTCTTCCACTTCTCCAAACTGAGCGAAGTAATCCTTGAGTGATTTTTTCGTTGCTATGGGATTTAATTTGGCCACAAATATCGTTCGTTCGTCTGGGTGAACAAAATGGGGATTTGTGCTGGCACTGACCACATTTTCCCCACAGTCTGTGTCATTCGCCTCAAATGTCGCCTCAATGGTCGACTTTCTGGAGAATTTGGCCTGTCCATGCATCTTCGTTAATAAGCTATACGAAAACGTGCTTTTGAAGAGTTTTGGAGAAGAACTAAGCCGCCAAAAATTCTTCATCAAAAGTGTTCGGGAGAAAGATCTGCAGAAGGCCGCCATGTTTCTTGTTCGATGCATCATGTATGCGCGTTAAGACGTCTACAACTCTGTCTCACTGCTGATTGGTTATAACTCTAATTTATTTACTGGAATATTCTTGCATCCACTATGGAGTCAATCCACGAAGAGCTGGATTACCTTGACAACTCAGCGGATCTTTCCTTCACCAGAGGCCACAGTGGCTTGGTAAACGGCTACTCAGAGCATAAACCCGATCTGGACGATCCGGGAGAAATACGACAGAATTTGAGGGCAGCAATGAAGGGGGCCCGTCAGCGAATTACGAACCTTCGATTGGACCTCGAGGAAAAGTAGGTTGAATATAGCCATCATTAAGCTTAATATCCATGAATCTTCATATCATCTGAATTCATCACGAGTGAGTTTATGTTTGGTTTGAAATATTGAGTGTAAATATGCTTAAAATATTGGCTTATTTGATGGTTTTACGGATAAAAGCTCACTGCTGAAGTCGTATAGCAACGCAACTTCGCACGGACGCCATCGAGCTTCGAGCGTCGATTACAAGTCTTTCGCCTGTTTACTTAATTTGGCAAAATTAAATACTAGCTCAAGAAATTAGGAGAGGAAGTCTTGGTGTTTCTGTTGAGTAGTTTAGAGTACAAAACTCCCGCGAAGTTGAACGTTAATGCGTCACGAGGTTATGGATTATTTGTAGAATTTCCTGAATGCGCCTATGACAACAGGTCTCGAGGGCTTTTGAAAGCATTTTAATTGTGGTGTGTATTTAATTTTCTTTTGTGTGATTATTGTATCGTTTCATCGTTCGAAAATCTCGCCCTGAGGTATCTTGTAACAAGATATTCCAACAACCTGCTGTTTGCGAAAAACAAACATGTCTGACTCTCACTGCTTTGCTGGTCCTGAATTTAAAAATAATTTGAAAGTTTTAATCGCTCGATGTAAACACAGTCACTGTGATGACTAATTTCCGCTGTTTTATTTTATGACATTTCCCACTTTAATCGCTGGTCTTAAAGTCGTAGCTTTCGAACAAAGTCGTCAAAAAAATAATTTACGGCGCAATTGCAAAGCTGTGAAGTCTTCTTTTCCAAAACATTATGGCAACCGGCCAATTTAACTTCAATACCTTGGAAATATTTTATTGTAAGTTTGCATACAGATACAAAGTATCAACTGTGATACTGAACCTGCAGAAATTTGGACAAATATATTTCGAGTACAGTCCTTTAATAAATTTTGAGAATTTTATTTTAGGGATAAACTCCTTGATGAAGAAAAGTCATTAAGGAAAACATTGGAGGCAGAGTTAGCAGAGAAAACCGAAGAATTATACAAGGAAAAGACAATGAGCTTGCGCACAGGGAATGAAGGATATCTATCCATGAATGTAACTAGCAGTTTCGGAGAAGATACGTCCTCATTTCGGGAAGAATTGTCCCTTGCACAACGCTTGAATCTGCAGGTATATTGGTTGTAGTTTTTAGGGATTTGTTGATTACTTTTCATATAACTTTTTTCACCAGCATAGCACTGAACAACAGACTATAATTTGCAACAACATGTAGGAAGTGGAAAATGATATTAACTGGTATCACATTTTTCTTTTTTGACCCTTTAACCGACTACAAATATTTCTGATAGGTCTTAGCTTTTAAGTCTTAATTCTAAATTGTACATATGTTTGAGTATTTTATTTTTTCGTAATTATTGTTTGCACAACCCCACCAGCAATGCTGATTTTACTTATCATGCTAAAATAAAGTTCTCACTCATTCACTCACTCAACTCCCAAGATCTGATTGTTGATTCTCCCCTCTTGCTGTTACACATTTCCTTGTAAATTAGTGGCAAGAATTTGGTGTTAGATCAAGATGACAAATTTTACGTGTTAAGTTTGGAGTATTTTCGCTAGCTGGATAATGTAATATGTATACTATATATGAAAGAAATTACAAGTTAATTGGTTCTGTTTTTAGTGACTTATTATATTCAAAATGTATATATGAATATTTTATTATAAAATTTTCATGTCAGAAAAAATTAGACTAACTAAAGACAAGAGTTGACAAAAAATGGTTGTAAAACTTTTCTCTGATAACAAAACAAGAAAAATTATATCCTTATAAATAATCTTAGGACAAAATAACTTTGAATTTAACATTTTTGTTTTACTTGTGGTATTCTGCATAGCTTACAGAGAAGTTATCCAGAGCAGAAGCTGAAATCGAAGCATCCAGAGTAAGTCGCGGTGAACTGTTGGCTCAGACGGAGTCAAAAATTGCTGCTCAGGGGGCAGGTAAGGAATTAAAACAAAGCTTGAGAGTGGAGCAGGAAATAATTGTCCTGTGAAGACTAAAATCAAATAATTATAGTCATTAAATAAACAATAGTCTCCATGCACTTGGCTTGAAAATATGCTTGGATATCTGTTCCGAGAATTGAACAGATTTCCTTCAGCTTTGTTCCTGGTAAACTGTAAGTTACAAGGAACAGATAATCGAGGACACAAATACCAGGATTAAATCTTAAACAAAGACTTGGGGATATTTAGGGTTTGAAAATTGGTCCTGAAATATAACTTGGAGAATATCACCAAATATTCCCCAGTTTTAGCTGGGTCATACTCAGTCAGGTGATACATCTACATTAATGATACATGAGCAAAAATACTTGATGGATCCGATTGTAATTGGCATTGATACTACTCAAGACTTCCTCTTATGCATGGTTGTGGAAATGGTGATTTTCCTTGATTTGATGGTAACAAGGATGCAACTTTTTAATTAAATTCTTTTCAGGAAAAGAAATATTTCTTTTGAGATTCACAAATGGCTCAAAATTTTTTCTTTTTTTACAGTGCAAATAACCAGATGGCATATTTGGCAATTCAGAGATTAGTTCAGTCCATACCCAATTCCAATTTTACTTTCCATTGACTGGCTGTAACTGAGAACCCTGCAATCAGAATAATGAACCCTAACCCTAAGCAAATTGTAATGTGTTCAAATTGGCTGGAGATGCAAAATGAAACTGACTACATTTCTTACACTGAGGGATTGAATAAGAAACAAAATGAAATAATAGAAATCTTGTTTTTTGACCATTACAGCTCTTGTGGAAAAAATCTACCAAGCCCAGAAGGAGCGAGATGCTGCCATGAATGCCAGACTGCATATGGCAAACTCTGAACGGGAGGAGCTGATTGACAAACTAAGAAGAGCTGAAAGAGAACATGCTGGGTAATAATGCGGGAGGTTGCTAAGCACGAAAGAAGCGTAAGAGTTGCTCGAGGCGATAGCCGAGAGCGACTCTAGCTTCTTGAGTGCTTAGCAAACCTCCCAAGTGCATCCATAACTCAATAGTGTACACTGTGGTGTTTACCATTTGTTTTATAACATAACATTGATACTTTGTAGCTAAAGAGTTCCCTTTTATTTAACAAATCTTGCGCGACCAGAAAAAACAAGCGCACGCAGAAAAATAGTCTTTGCATTTGCTCACGTCAGCAGCGTACACCCATGGGCAAATGGGGGATGCGAAATTGACCAATCAGAGCTTGCGCTTTACTTTGGTTATGTTATAATACTATGTAGAAAACTGTTGCCAACTACACT